AGTACCGAATCGCAGCTGTATTTAAATAAAATTAAACCCATTCCTTTATATCTCCTTTATATTCTGTGATTAAAATACTAATCTTAAAATACATTAAATAATTATAAGCATTCACGGTGCTTGTAGTTAAGTACCATAAAGTTTTTTTAAATCCTAGTTTTATGAGGACTTAACGATGTTTATTACTTTTTTAAGTCAGATATATTGAAAGAGATAGAACTCTTAGTTTGATTTTTTCCCACAAAGTTTAACAAAAGTTCGTGAATAACAATTCTATTTATAAAAATGTAGATATTCTTTATGTAAACGATGTGATTTTATATTATAGTTCTTCATATTTTTAAAGATGTAGCATTCAGATATAGTAAACCAACTAGCTGTGACGCTATTGGGTGAAACTGTGGATATTCAAAGACTTCGAATAGAAATACTCCTTGGATTTCTATTCAGACAATAAGAAAATTAATTACTATTAATAATATTTGAGACGCTCATTTAGAGATTATGGAGGAACTGTTAGCGGATGCCTTCATTTTGAGCTTGTGCTCAAATCGGTGAAGTGCCCTAATACACATCCGATGCAATAATGGTATCAACTTTTTATGAATGCAAAAAAAAAAATTACGATCAAATAAGTAAATGTTGGATACCGACATGTTATTCAATAAATTTAAATAGTTTTAAAATAAGTAAAAACATATTTAAATAGCTTAATGAAGCACCTTAATTAAGTTAACACATAATAAAATTTTTATTGATATTTTCATCTAAATTCTGCTTCCTCTTGGGTGAACAATTTTCTTAAATCCAAAATTTTTAATTATTATTATTTGGACTAAGTTCGCCCATTTTGACCGGAAACTCGTCATGATTAACCAGCATTGATTGATGATGATTATTCATTTAAAATATTATCTATCATTATCTTAAGATAGTTACAGCTGCAGTAGTTTCTTTATTTAGTGTTTAATTTTTTTTTTGATTTATAAATTTACGGGGTGGTTTAAAAATAGATAATAGTTAAAAAAGAACAAAAGCTAATAAAAGTTAGATGTATGTTATATAAAATTAATTTTTAATATACACTATTGTTTTCAATAGAGAGGTATTTCGAACAGTACTAAATCACAACCAAAAAATTTTATTATTTATTAATTAATTGAATTTTTGGTTCCAAGACATGCGTTGAATTTTGTATATTTTGGATTACAATATTATTCAAAGTTCATTATTTTATCTTTTAAACATAATACATATCTTGGTAATGGTTTATGAGTTAGGCTAAGGCCTTTATGCATTGCGACCAGCTGATCTATTTCGATGCATATTAAAAATAAAGCGCCTCCTTCATATGATTCGATGGTAAAACAAGGAACTACCCAGTTCTTTATAATCTTTATTAGAAAAAACCCTAATACGATTGCTCTGTTGTAAGCAACTTTTAACTGAAGAAAGTGAAAATGTATATATAGACCATGTGCGAGTTCGAGTAAATTTAGAAAAATAGTAAATTATGTCGGTATGGCAGCGAATGTTGTTATTTACCAGAATTTGGAGTAGTGTAAATTAGATAAAAATTAGGTAAATTAGGTGTTACCATTGTGAAAATTTAATAAGATGTTTAATTGATAAATAAATAAATTTGAAAACTTTTAACCAAAAATAATAAATAAATGCAAAAATAAATAAATAAATATTTACATAAGTGCAGTGCAAAAAATCCCTAGGAAATTTCAATTTACTTTACGTCAATTGACTCAAACTCGTACACGGCCATTAAATTAAAATAAATTGCCTTTAACTCCTTTAAGGTTCTGACCACTATAAATTGAATGAAAACATTTTATTAAAAATTAATATTATTTAATATTATATTATTTATTAATATTAATAATATTTTTTTCATTTATTATTTAATATTATTAAAAATTTTATACTATTTATATACTATTTATATACTATTATATACTATTTTATACTATTTATGTTATACTATTTAAAAACACTTCATAACTTTAAAAATTTCAACATAATCAATTTCATAATCATAATCATAATGCTGATTAACTTTGTAGTGTGAATAACAATTAAAAATCAATTAATTATTAACTAAAAAATGAAGTTATCATTTATCAACTAAAATGATTGATTTAAAGTTCGTAGAACTTCAATTGAAATAATATTAGTAGAATATTTAAACATTTTGCTTCAGTAAAGCTCATAATGCATTATTCATTTATTTACAAAACAATTGAAAGTATATATTGTAGATAAGATAAATACATTAGCACAGAAAAATAATTATTTAAAACTTAATTAATTTATTTTCTTAATAACTAAATTAAATATAAAGCTTATCTACGACAATTTATGCTCTTTAGTGTAAAATTCGTAGAAATTCTTTCAATCTTTGCTTATATCTAATAAAAATAGCAGATTTATTTGTTTTAACGGATTTTTTATTAAATTATAAATACTAAGAAGTCTCAACATATGCTATTGTAGCCGAAAAACTTACTTTGCAGGTACTTGACTTTAGTACTTGACTTCTTAAAAGATATATGTATGTAAATACGTGTCCGTATGTATCGAAAATTAGGTGTAAAACGAGCATTCACCTTCGACAGTTGTATTTTAGTTTTATTTCTTAATTTATTTTTAACATTATAATAAATTTAAATATAAAAATTATATGAGAAAATATGTTAATTAAACACGATTTAATAAAATAAAGTAAAGATTCCAAAATGCAAATACATCACATTTCTTCACGTGTACTCTACATATACTTTTTTGAAGATATTATAAGTATCTTTAATCACTCTCTTTCAGAAACTATAATAATAATATCTTACTATTTATGTATATTAGTATATATTGTAATATATATATATATATACTTTATTAGGTTTATTTCCGTGTTGGGTTCTGGATACATCACATTTTTTCACGTGTACTTAACACATTCTTTAATGACAGTATAAGTATCTTTTATCACTCTCTTTTAGATAACCCTAGTAATAATGACATCTTACTATTTATATATATATTAGTATATATTGTAATATATATATATATATACTTTATTAGGTTTATTTCCGTGTTGAGTTCAGGAAAATATTGTAACAACGAGTGGGGACGGTTTCAAAAAAATAAATCAAATACATTAAGACCGAAAAGTTTTCGGAAATTCTCATTTAAAATTCGCGCGCTGTATATTTTTCGATATTTTAAGTTTATGTAGTTTGGCAGCACTGTCCTTAATTACTATGCCAAAAATGAGCGCGATCTGTCAGACAGTTCGTTTACGGCAGCTGTTGAAACCAGTTCACCTCAGTAGTGCGTTGCGAAAAAAACAATGGAAAAAAATATTGAACAAAGAGTTTGCATCAAATTTTGTGTTTCGAACGAAATTTCGTGTGCAGAATCGTTGCGAATGCTACAAAAGGCTTATGGGGAATCAGTTTTATCGAAAACTCAAGTTTATGAGTGGTACAAAGCCTTTCAGGACGGTCGTACGACCGTCGAAGACATTTCGCAACGCACTACTGAGGTGAACTGGTTTCAACAGCTGCCGTAAACGAACTGTCTGACAGATCGCGCTCATTTTTGGCATAGTAATTAAGGAAAGTGCTGCCAAACTACATAAACTTAAAATATCGAAAAATATACAGCGCGCGAATTTTAAATGAGAATTTCCGAAAACTTTTCAGTCTTAATGTATACAATAATGGTAGGGTCATTATTAATAGTAATAGATGAAGTAAAAACAAAATCCAATATTTTTGCATGAAATTGAAAGCTTTTTTACCATAATTAGAACGATCCGATTTAAATCAAATAACATATGCGCGTTCAATAATTTGTTGCCATTCTGAACGTAGTTTCATTATACTTCTCTGATCGAAGTCCTCCTTCGCATTCGCAAAAACTTAAGACAGTCGATTTTCACAAGCCTCTTTTGCAGCGAATTTTTCACTACAAAAACCGTACACTAAGAACAGAAACAGATAGTAATCACTTGATGCCAGGTCTGGACTAAAAGGTGGATGCATAAAACCTTCCAAATCAAATTCCCGAAGCTTTTATCGGAACATAATGGAACATAATTTCTCTCCTATTGACTTAATATTTTGAAAAAACAAATATTATATATATTTAATCCTTTAACTCCTAGGAAGAGCATAGGGCCGCAACAAATATCTTCCACTCGGTACGATCGAGTCTATGCAGAGTATGGCCGATCAATTCCCATTTGCGTTTTTTGATTTCGTTTCTTATAGGAGTTTGTTGAGTTAAAATCGACTTTAAAATATTTTTGATGGAACAACTTAAAAATTTAAAAGAAACTTACACAGCTCATAGTAAATGATTCACTGTCAATCCCACAAAAACCCACAGCATAACCTTCCAGGCTTGGTCACTGTTTTTGCTGGCCCACCGCGACACGACTACAATCTTGTTCACTTGTCGTTGTCGTAAGTGATCCACATTTAATCACCAGTCACCAACCGCTTCAGAAATAGGTCACTTTTATAGCGATTCAACAGCGATTCTCAAATGGAAATTCGGCCCAGTTAGTCGGCGACTGTGCGGCATTTTCATCTGTTACTGTTTTTTCTCACCGCACTGTACGAGGCTGAATTCGGCATTTTTGATTTTTCTATAGTGTTACGTTAATTTTGGACTGTTAAGTTAAAAATCTGCCGTATACCCGTTTTCACAGTAATAGTAAAAGTTCAAAAATTAAGTTAAAACCTTAATAGTTAATAAAAAATTATTATATTAATAGATACAAATTTCATTTCTTGAGGAAACTTTTCCCAAACAAATATTTTTGGCTTAGGCAGCCTTTCTCGCATTCTCCTTTTTTTATTTTCTCCGTCTTTATTTGGAAGAAAAAAAAAAAATAAAATAAAAAAATAAAAAAATTAATACTTTAAATTAAAAAACTCTTTTTACTGTTTCGTATCTTAATAATCTTTTTTTTTCACAGAAATTCAAACTCTCTATTGTAAAAAATTAACGTTAAATCATCTGATCCGAAAATCTTACTGTGGTTTGGAGAAAAAATCTAAGTTAAGTTAAAGCGCAGCTTTATGTGGATAAATCTAGAGAGTATAGCGTATAAGATACTCGTTTTTTGCAGATCATACTGCAGCCTTGACCTCACAAACAGTACGTCATACAAATATATCATAATGCAGTATTATTCAAACAAACGTTTCTGCTAAAATTTTTATATACTATTATAATGCTGATAAATTTTTGTTCAAATATTTTTTAAAGATATGTTAGAGTAAATTTGTTAATAAGTTTAAACAATTTTGTTTTAATTTTCATTACAAATATTTAACCAATATTTTTAGAATTTTGAGATAGATTCACTTAATTATGAGCTAAAAATGAAAGTATATAAGATAACAGCAATAAGTAAGCTTAAGAAAGTTCTAAATCACATACTAAATGCTTAATATAACTAAAATTCTGTTATTAAATTATAGAATATAAAATAATATATTAATTATTTTAACATTAACATTAACATATTTGTTAAAAAATATTAATTTTAAAGATAAAAAATTTAATGTAAATAAATTATATTTTAAGTGATTTATAAATTATATACGAATCAATATATCTGTACTTATGTCTGTATATGATATAAATATCATCATCATCATCATCATCAGTTGGACCTATACAGTCCATGTTGGACCTAAGCCTATTTAACAACATCGTTCTATTCTTCTCTGTTTTTTGCTTTTGTTCTCCAATTTCTTCAACATTGTCTTTCCATCGTGTTTTTGATCGCCCTCTTCTTTTGCTACATCACGTTTTCTTTCACGGGGCCGAAAATTTGTCTGAGTATTTTCCTTGCAAACACTGTTATCTTACTCCCTTCAGTTTCAGTTAATCTTCATGTCTCGCAGCCATATGTTACAATTGGACGAATCAATGTTTTTCTTACATTTTTAGTTTTATTTTCTGCGGAATATTATTACTTGTATTTAGTCAGTCTAATCCATAATAAGCTTTATTCCCAGCTTGTACTCTATCTTTTAATGTAGTCATTGTTAGCTTATTCTCGCTAAACACAACACTTAAGTATTTATATTTATTCAATTATATGGTTGTCAATGTTTAGGACATTTTGAGTAATGACATAAATAGACTAAAGAAAAATTAATTCGATCTCCTTTAAATTGTCTGGAACAGATGCTTTGATTCAAAAGTAGTTCAATGGAGCAGTGCAGTCGGTTTCTGTTTTCTCTGGCTAAGACAGGAAAAAAACATGTTAAAATCTTCATTAACATGAACACTAAACCAGACATAATTGTCTGTGCTATTGTCCTCCTATTTATTAATATTATTAAATAATAGGCTATGAATACGCCGTGGTCTAAAAGATCTATTGTGCACCTGAATGCTCAACTAAAACAATTCTAGACGATTTATAAATAGTCTATTTATTTATTTATTAAGATCCCGCTATCTCTTTCTAGTACACCTATATTTTTCATGTAATAATTGAGTGTATTAATTACAAATGAGTCGTTTCTGCTAAGGTTCAGAATTGCGGCAACTTTGACGTGTTTAGTATCAATAAATCTTCTTGACTGTCACATACCTGTTTGGGCTTTCCAGTGTTTAAGTAGACTTCGTTTATCCCATTCACACATTGAGTTTTTTTGTAAAGCTATTTATCTCCCCGCAGAAGGGCTTTACGAATAACAGAGTTTCTCGATGCTAGAGTATTGAAAAGTTGAAAGCATTTCCAGACCAACGTTGATTGGAATGAAGAATTTGTTAAAGATTTTAGAGCTGCATGACTGTCCATGCTGTTCTTATGCATATTCTTAAGATTTTTTTACCGCTGACAAACACCCTAGCATATATTCGCTTTTTTCTATTTCTGCTATTTTTCTATTTTCAGTTTGATTATTTAAAATTCGAGCTAAATAAATAATATTGAATAATATTGAATACTGTGTTTCTAGCAATATTATTGTCCTTGTCCATCTATCTCTCACTGTCCATTATTAGCTTAATTGTCAGACTGCCTAAAATTCAAAGCACTTCATCAAAAGGACATAGTGTTTTGATAGTCTGCCCGAAATATCTATATTCAGATAATGCCCTAAACATTATTGTGTTTTTCGGTCCAGAATGGAAGTATACCTATTCCGAATGACTATAATCAGTAAATGTCTTAATATTAGTCCACTTAGTTCCTAAGTGAGTGTTCGTGTTTTATAAGATGACCTGTTCCTGGTACCTAACTATTAATTATTCTTGAAGCAAACAAAATAGTAACAATTTTTTTATTTGTTGAAAACTAACAAAAAAATATTTTTTAATGTTAATTTTTTCTTGCCGAGAGTGTAAAAAAGAGTTTTTACGACGAAAAGAAACTATTTAAAAGTTAGACGGATTCGAATAGCAAAGAAAAGACAATGACAAAAATTTGTTTCATTCATTGAAATTTAGCTGACCATACAACGCTTTTTCGAGTATTGTCAAGTACTCATCATCAGTGGTCTTAGCAAATATTCTAATTTATTAATTAGTTTAATTAATTAGTGCCAGACTTAGAACTCATGCCCGTCAAATTAGAAGCTGTACTTGTCTTTTCTATGCTATTCGAATCCTTCTAAAAACAATTTTTTTTGTAAATTTTACTCTGTTATTGAATGTTTCAACGAATTTATTTTCTATTATCTATGTTAAAACAAAAAGATAACGTAGTCCAAACCGCCATTGAAGACATTGAAAAATAATAAAAATCAAAATTTTCAGCTCATTACACATTATTGAGAAAAAAAAAATTATTACAAAATAAATAAAACAAAAACTTGTTTCGGAATTTGTACGTACAGATTCAAGATTCTTCCGTTAAATAATTTTAAAGATAATTTAATTACTTTGTGAATGCTGGAAGGTTTGAGAGAACTCAATATCTGTAGATTTTCATACTCAATAGCCAAAATAAAAATACTAAAAATGTTTAGTCATAAAACAAACAAAAAAATCATTGCGCGAAGTGGAAGCATCGTAAACGCGCCATGAGAAGCACCTGAAAACCAAACATTGATCCAACAATCGGCTAACAGGTACTCTCTTCTATGTGGGCTCATAACTCGTCTGTGCGTTGTAGGCAAGTGATTTGTACTTATGTGTAAAAGCGTGAACCTTATAATTTGCTTTACGGAGGCCACCTCCAACATTGTAGCAAGCAACGTCATTTATCTCAACTTTTATTGTGTTTTTACTCTCCGCTGTTTCAGTGATTATAGCTTCTTCTTTCTAATAAAAATTAACAACAAATTTCAGAATTTATAGTCTATGTAATTATGAATTAAACTGTGAAGATACGCCAAATAATACAGCGAAAATTAACTAATAAAGTAATTTATGACGTAACTTTTTTTTTGTACACAATATGACGATTCAAACACCTTCAAAAAATTTATCTTATTTACAAAATAAAATTTTATGACTATAATATGTACATCTGCTAACTTCAATACTATTTTTAGCAATGAAAATTAAAACTATTTTAAAGAGAGAAAGTAATTATTATATTACTGGCTAAACTATTAAAAATAGACAAACAGTCTATTATTATTTATATTGCCCTCAATAGTCTATTAATAGACATAATTTCATAAGAATAGCTTTAAATTGATTTCTAGAAGTAGAATGCACATCTTCTATAGATGTGCATCATATCTATAGAAGATATTGGTTTAAATTAATTTCCAGAATTAGAATGCAGATCTTCTTTAGATGTACATCATTTATAGTAAATGATCATCGTATAAGACATCTTAACTGTACTTTATATTGGCAAGTAGTTAGGAAAGTAATTATTATATTGTAGGCTAAACTTTTAAAAATAGACAAACAATCTATTATTATTTAGATTGCCCTCAATCATCTATTAATAGACATGATTTCATAAAAAATAGGTTTAGATTGATTTCCAGAAGTGGAATGCACATTTTCTATAGATGTGCATCATATAGATGATCATCATAGACAACTTAACTGTGTTTTGGCTTGGCAAGAAATTAGGAAAATAATTATTATTGTCCCAATCTTAATTATCATAAAGGAGTTCAGTTAAATTGATAATATCAATATAAAATATAAAAAACTTGCTTTGAACTAACATTTTACGAAACTCTATTCACGCATCTTCATTGCTGTTTTCACGCATTTGTTATTTTCTATCAAAGTTATTCCAAAATATATCTTTTAAATATAATTGAAGACAGTAGTTTCAGACGTGTAAGATAGTTCACCAAGAGATTTTTTGCATTCCCATAAAAAAAACATGGCAATACTAAAAAATAAGCATTTTCCGAATTATCAGTACAAGCAGTCTTAACGCTATAAACCACTTGTCCAGAACGGATAAAGGGTATGCCAGTATACTGTATCAGATTTACCATCTTCTAGTTGTGTCGATTAAACGTGTTTATACCCAAGTCTGGTTCAGATTGCTGATACTAAATAAATAACTGAATTCAAGGGCTACTCTATCCCGAATGACAGAGTCAGTGGAATCTTTTCTAATAAATTCGATCTTAACTAAATAACCAAGTAGGAGTACTGACCATTCACTATGCAGTAAAGTAGGTCCTGAGCCATATATGTTTATATGAATATCGCAGTCTTCTCGGGCAGCAGTAAAATATGCTGCATTTACTATGCAGTAAAGTAGGTCCTGAGCCATAAATGTTTATATGAATATTGCAATCTTCTCGGGCAGTCAACCTGCAATTAAATACCTGTTAGGTGTTACAGCTGCTTCTCTTTTAGTTCGAAATAAATCAGACAACTGTAAAGCTTTCTAAAATTCACTTTTCTGTTATTGGTATTTCTTGTCGTTCGCCACCTAATAGGTGTCATTGGACACCTATATTATTGACTAAACTGGTAATAATATATTAATACCTAATGTTTCTAAGAAAAATCGTATCAGGTTATCAGAAGATTCTTGTTAAAGCACAAAACTTACCTAATTCTGCCTCAACTAAACTGGAAGAAACTCCGTATTACAATATCGGAATTACAAAACTGATTAATTACCGAGTACAAGGAAGATATGTAATAAATCTTGGTCTACCTTCTAAAGAGTTTTGTAAAGGTTGTGGCTTGGCGAATTCGAAAGAAATTGTACTGCACCTCATGTGTTAGTGCCTATCATTAAATAGGAGAAGGTTCAAAATGTTTGAAGCTCTTCTCTAACTGAACTTTTAAAATTATTATCTTCATCATATTTTAAAATTAGGTATGTCCCTAAGTTTGTGCCAAGTTTATAGACTTGTCAGATTGGTTCCCTTCTCCTTGAATGGGGATGTCGTCTGTTCTTAAAGCATGTGATGAAATACACTTCGAATAGAAGTTAAGCTATTCTTTATTCACAACATCTTAAACGTTGGGACACATGATACGTTCTACGTTAAATAGATGATTAAGTTGGTTTTGATTTATTTTATCTTGACTTCTCAAAAATTAGGATTCAGGACAAATTTAACGATGATCAGAAAATTCAGCTGCTGTTTATTAAAGACCTTTGAAACGTTGGTATTCTAATATTTAGCTGCTCTTGATTCACGAGTTCTCAAACATTGGAATTCAAGAAAAAATTAGCATTGATTAACCTGCTCTTAATTCATGATATCTTCAACATTGGCATTCAAAGCAAATTTTACCTCTATTGAAATATACTTCTGGTCTGGATTCAGAACTTTGTCGAACACGAATTTTACATTCATTAAATGTTGATATAAAAAAAATGAAATTTACTTTAGACTAATTAAGTAATTAGACTGTTCTTAATTCACGATTAAGATTAGGAACGATCTTAGGAACGAATATGGGATTACGAACGAATATGCTAAGGTCACATCCACTGAAGTTTGTTTAAATTGTTGATGTTTGGTTTATTATATTAAAATATTATGTCTTGAAACTATTAGAACTTTATCGTCATTCTTTTGTAATATTTGAATACATTAGTTTTAATCTTTCACTTTTTTGTCTGTTGTGTAGAATGTTCAGAACAATAAAACCTCAGAATATAATTAGAACTTGTATGATTCGCAAGTGTCACTCAACAACATCAGCGAATACAAAAGCAGATAACGTTTCAAATGAGGATGATATATCGCAGGACAATAATCCAGAACTATGGGATGACTTCACCAAAGAATTTATGAAAAATCGAATTGAGTTAACACCACTTCAAAAATTTATACTATGTACTGGATCTTCGCTTGCCGCCATTTTAGATCCTAGAAGGTAACTATTAAATGAAATAAATGACTATTGAAATATATAGTCCATGTGAAAGGTCTCAAAATGGTTTTAAAAAATTATATTTACCTTACATCATTATGTATAATATATCAGGCACGATATGATTGCTTGTCTTGGAGAAACAACTGGAGGATTTGCATTAGAAAACATTTTACAAGAAATGAAGTCCAATGAGGAGGGTCAAAGAATACTCACATTACGACCACGCATCAATACAAAAACCGTTGATCTTGATAAATTACGTTCCCTACCAGAAAATAAATTTGGATATGCCTATGTAAAATTTTTGGATCATAACGTAAAGAAGCATTCTATATGAATAATACAGTACGAAAATATTAAACAATAAATTTTTATAGAATGTAACGCCAGATTCACGAATGGAAGTTCGTTTTATTAATAATCCAGAATTAGCCTATGTAATGACACGATATCGAGAATGCCACGATTTGGTACACGCGATATTAGATATGCCCACAAATATGTTAGGCGAAGTGACAGTAAAATGGATAGAAGCTTTAAATAACAATTTACCAATGTGCTATGCTGGGGCAGTTTTCGGAGCAATGCGTTTAAGGCCCAAGTAAGTACAAAATATATTAAAAAATATATAATATTTATTATGATTAAAAAAATAATTGTTAAAGGCAACGAAAAGAATACGTCAATCGTTATTTACCATGGGCTGTAGAAAATGGCAAAAAAATGAAACCATTAATGCCAATATTTTGGGAGGAACGTTGGGAGCAAAATACAGACGATTTACGTAAAGAATTAAATATAACACCATTAAAATAATATATATACATATATTTTTACAAATTTTGTATGTTATATTTATACTTTATATTAAAAAAATATATTTTTACAAATGTATTCTTATGTTAATATTTGATCAAGTGTATCTGTTAGTAAATTATATAATTTTATTTGAAATATATTTTTTCTTTAATTATTATTATTGATATGGATTGAAATAAATGGGGACATGGTCTTGAATAAATTCTCTATTTATTGAATAAATAGTCAATAAATAGGGTGTTCATATTATTTTTTTTAAATAATTTTATTTTTATTTAAATTTTCTGCTAATATAAATTTTGGGTTCACTGAAAATTAATTATAATGTTTTAAATTACGAGAAACAATTTATCTTCGAAATCTTGTCATGCGCCTACATAAGCGAAAAATATGTAAATAATGAATTTATAACTGGGTGTTTACATTGACTTAATTATGACAAGATTTTTATGTTCAAATATAAATACGTAATACATTAAATTTTTTTGCAAACAAAAATTTCTGTGTATTAGTAAACAAGTAAGAGTGTGAGAAAAATTTCTGCTAAAGTCTAGTCAATGTAAACGCTGGGTAATTTTAATATAATGAAATGGAGTACAAAACGTTATTGTTACTGTTACTATTGAATAGTACGAATATTGTATAAACAAAATTAAATAAGTTTTCAATATATGCGCATTCCCCATTTCTCTTCTGTCTATTATCTTGAAAATCCTCTAAAACTATCGAGGATTTGTCAACTATCGTTTGTTCCGGCTAAAAATAAATTAAATTTATTGTATATTGAATACAATAAAATATATTTGAAACAATATTCCACCTAAGAGAGGAGTCCATGCAATGGAATATATTATATATATAAAGCGAATTTGTTAATTAATTTGCTTTATAAAAGTTATTAACAAGAGTTGGAAAAATGGACTGCAAAAACATATCTGAATATGTAAATTATAATTTTATGTTGATTTAGTTTTTCTTAATAGTTATTCTGTGCAACTATTTTAACTCTTTAGCTCTTTAAGTCTTTTATAGTTATTCTGGTAACTATGCTTCATGGATCTTGATTCATCCAGGAAATTTTTCACCAATCTTACAAACTTATAGAACTTTTAACTGAATATATTAAATCGCTTTATAAAATTTAGTCTCAAAAAATAATTATTTACGAATAATTAAATACAAGAATTATTTTCAAGACCACTGATAATGGGTATTTGGCAATACTCGAAACAGCTGTATGGTCAGCCAAAAATTCAATTACTTAAAATAATATAAAAAATAAAATTTTTGTTGTTATAGTTCACTACTGTTCGAAAAACCTCTTTATAAAATTTATAAATTTGATTTGGAAAAATGAATTGTAAAAACATATTTCATAGCAGATTATACTTTTATGCTAATTTATTTTCTCTTATTCGTTTATGTTATACATGTAAATGAAAGTTCTGAACATCGCTGTATATTTTGTTTTGCTTTGCTTGTTTATCAACAATATTTGCAATATATCATCAGAGAATCGTAATGTAGTGAATTTCAAATTTTATTGAAACTTCATTTTACACAAATTATAATTTAATTTCAACTTTGATTGTCGAATTCTCATACGAAAGCGATTTGTAATTTCATTTAATATTGTAACAAAGTTAATCAAAAGATCCGAACGAAAAAAATTACAATTGCAATGTGCTATGTGAATAGACTTTAAGCAATCAATAATACACGTTTATACAAATCAAATAAAATGTTTTCCTTTTGATATAGAATCAGCACTTAAAAACTTATGAAATAAGAGACATCATTTTCTAATCTTAATTTCCCTTGATCGCACAATTCACATACTATTCAAATGATTTACTTATCAATTTATTGATTAATTTTATGTAAACAGTGATAGATAAAATAATTTTATTTCAATTTCAGATACTTTCAACTATTATGTTTACAATAATATGACTTCAGCAGTTGCTAGAGTAATTATTTTTTTAAAAAATGAGGAAACAAAATCTTATATATTATCATACTAGTAATATTAAATTATTACCCTTTTTATCTAATTTCAGCCATGTTATTATTTTTGTTATTGCTGTTACAAACAAGTTGGCAACGCGAAGTATTTGATGATGTGTTGACATTTACAACAAGAACATATACAGACAGACGAGCGGACGGTGTTTATATTTGCTATAATTTGTTTTGTTTTTATTTAGTTTTTATTTGTTTTAATTAATTTTATAAAATATTTTGCAATTATTTTATGCAAATATTAAACTGATAAAATGTCAGAAAAGTTTAATGGTTTTAGCCAGGATGAAATAAATAAAGTATCTGGCAAAAAATTAAATAAGAATGACGGATGTGAGTAGTAGATAATTTTGATTAAAAATTAATTTATGCTCATTATTATTATTATTTATTAGTAAAGCAAGCATTTCGTGGACCGCACACCGGCATACGTCGAATGCCAGATAAGGTTACTAAGCCCACTATTACAACTAAAAAACAACAGCAAGCTTACAAGAAAACTACTTTAACAAGAAATGATGCAGAAATCGAACAAAATGAGGATGTTGTCAACATAAACAATGTGGAAGATGACACAGATAATATTTCTGCAATGCCCAAAATCTCTAAGGATAACATGTTCTATCCTATAATAAAGTCTGTAGCTGCTCTACATAAAAGAGAAGCACTAAATGGTGTTAAAAGTGAGTCTGCATCTCATCCGAATGATTTGCCTGATGAAAATGTGATAACGTCAACATCCAACGCAGTTGAAAATTGTTCTGAAACAACACCTCCTCTTGTTGTGGAGTCAGCATTCAAAGGAGTGTCATTAAAAGATTTTGAATCTCATAGAAAATTAATTCAAGAACAAAATAATCAGAAAAAGGAACTACTAAGAAAAGCTATAGAACAACAGTCAGTATATATATATATTTAAATGTTTTAAAATTGATTACATTGTTAATTTATTAATATTTATATGTATATTAGTTCACAAAAAACTGCTGCAGAAACTAAAAAAATAGAAGAAATCAAAAGTGAGCTCTCAAAACTCGATAATGATTTAGCTGTGGATGTTGCAATACTACGTAAACAAATTGACAATGCATGTATACATTTTGCTAATGTTGAGTGAGTCGCCGTTATATATAAAAATATTTTATTTAATTGGTTTTTTTTTTTGTTAAATACTACAGAAAGCAGTATATAAAAATTGAGGCTCAATTTTTAAAATCTAAAATTGATTTACATAATGCTGCAGAAAAAAAGGAATTGCTTACGGAACATCTGTGTACGGTGATAGCACATAATGAAGATCGCAAAGCACAAAAACTGTCAGAACTAATGGAAAAAGTTGGTATTACTCCAACTGGTGAATATGAGCCAACTTCAACCACTAATGATATTGATAAGTAATTAGTAATTACGAATTTATTCTGTTTTTAAATAAATTGATGGTTTAAATTTTATTGTACTATGACATCAATTTCTAAACAGAACCTTTCTAATATTCTTTTTAATCACTTGAATTGTACTTCAAGTACATATAGACTACTTAATGTATTTTCTTGCTATCGAATAATTAATGTGACTAAATAATATCCATATTATTTTAAATATTTTTATCTCGAAATAATAGTTTATTGTAGCATACCATCGGATTCTCGTATGAAATCAGATTGTAATTTTACTTGATTTTGTAACAAAATGAATCAAAAGATCTGAATGAAAAACTACTTGACAATATTAAAAGCTTTACCATAATTTTTCCAATAAGTTTTAAAGTATATCAAAAATTAATAAATATTATGTATATTAAATACAGTGCTCAAACGAAAGTGTGAACTAATCAAGTCCCAAATATTTGTTTACATTTAAGAACTTCCATGTCTTAGAGTAGTTAATGTAGAGAAAATTGTGTTCACGTAATCCATGTATGCCAATGTTCACGTTTTTGAGCGAACACTGTATGTTTACTGCAAATACATGTGACCTGCAATATATTTTTAAATAAATATTTCAAAATTAGTTTTACTAATAAAATTGTTTTTTTAAAATTGTAAAATATAATTTTTGTAATAATAAATAATCAGCTTTTTGTAATGAAAACTATAGTATTGTTATGATAATTACTACTTAAAAAATTGAAAAATACTGCTTGAATAAATTACACTAATTATCGAAATGTAAAATAAAATTTTATTAGTCATAAAAATCATATATGTAATTTTTTTCAATGCGAGATTATTATTTATCGCTTTTTATGAATAATACTACCCATTTTGAAAATTTAATAGGCATTTATACGTGTTTGTATTGTGCTTGGTTGAGATTTAATAATAACAAGTCCAATATTATTATGATATCTATAACTAGACGTTTAAACACATTAAAAATAATTTTTATAAATCTGCCATTAATGTATTAATATAACTAAATGTTATTGTTAATATATAGGATAAAATTATACATACATGCACAAATATTTATTTCTAGTTTATAATAAAACGAAATAAATACATATTAAGAGATATGTTTTAAAATTAATAAATTTTATTTAAATCAACAAAAATACTTTGAATAAATTGTTATTACGACCAATATTCGATACGTTTTTTAATTATTACCGGGCTTCGGTTGTTAATTTAACAATAATAAATTAAAAATACTTTTTTAAATAAAAATGTGTTAGGTATTTAATTATATTTTAATTTTTATAAAAAGTTATTTATATTACAAACATCGGTTTATTTATTTATTTCGGTTTACTTTATACTTTATTTCGTAAGAGTGCTTTTTATTTCTAAAGATAACAGTTTCAGTTTTTATGTGGTAAATTAATAATGTAATAACACCAGTAAAAATTAAAAAAACAAAAATATTTTGTATAAAAAAATCAAAATTTTTGAGACTGGCAATACTAATTGCGGTGTTTAGAAGTTTTTTGACGTTTCAAATTTGACTAGTGCCTTGCAATAAAAACGTTGTAGCTAAAATTTCAAAATTTGATTTATCACCAAAATATTATGGCTGGTAGAGGACGTGGTGGCAAAACTGGTACATTAACCCAGGACCAAATAAATAAAATGGGTATTGGTACAGAAATGCCTATTCAAACTGCTCCACCACCAACATATCCACAACTACTATCGAAGCCAGTGACAATGGAAGTAAATATATGCGTAATAAATATTTATCCCATTACTGAGAAATATATATTTATTTAGATAACATCTGCGCAAAGTTATCAAATATTGTGGAAGGAAGACTTTCTAAATCACATGCGTGATTCACCTTACTTTTTATTACCAAAAGTAAACACAAAACTGAACATGCAACGACAGGTGGATCAGCTGGTGGTATGTAGGCAATCTGTAATTAATTAAAATTAATACAAGATTTCTGACACATATAGGCAGCACTTGAGGATTCCAAAATGAAAACAAAACCAGATTTTAATTGGCAATTATTGCCACCTGAATTACATCTTACGGGAAAAAGACGTATAGCTTCTGCTGACAAAAATGTACCAACTAAAAAACTAAAAACAGAAAATATTGAAGATCGTCTAAAATTACTCGAAGAAAAAGAGCGTACTGAAGGTGATAAAGATTTGTTAGACAAAGCTAACTCTGAATCAGAAGTGGAAGATGAAGAGGTAATCATGTTTCGATTTTTTATATATGTTTATAAATTTTTTTTACGTTTTTAGGAGGTTGCTGCAGATGAAGAAATGGATGATGAAAACGACTATGGAAATAGTTATTTTGATAATGGAGAAGCATACAATGAAGAGGACGATAATTTAGATGATGGACCTGTCTATTAAGTACGTAATAGTTTATAAAGTAATATATAAGTAAAAACTCTATAACTAGAAAAATTTTAAAAATGCATATTTATTACTTCTATAACTGCAATTTTTAATATATATATATTTAAATATATATATATTTAAAATTCAGTATACTACTTTGTGATTCGGCTAAGTACAAAGTAGAACACTCCGTGTATATTTTCTCTGATGGTTACATATTAGGTTTCTATAACTAAATACGAAGACCTGCTGTCGGATATCTAAATTTTAAAAATGAAAAGGATTATAGCACAATGAATGACATGTTAGTGATAGCATAATAATTCTATACTGTTTGTTACCTTATTTACAATTATTGTTCTAAATAAAAGTATGCCTTTACCAAGGGACAAATCCGGATTTTGCACGTACGCTATCTTTCACAGCTACCTGGATGGATTCGTTTGTATAATTTCAACTTCGTTTTCGTTGATGTTAGCTAATCACAGACTGGATTTGTATTTAATAAGATTTCAATATCTCTGCAGGCTTAATTAAATGTGATATTCGTAAAATTTTTGGAATCGCCACATAATGTCTTGACTTACTATGTTTTGCTCTTAAAATGCTTGATGTTAAGTGTTCAATTGTGTAGAACACAAGGTTAAGGTTTAATTATTTAATTATTATAAATTAATTTGGTAAAAAATAAATTTGACCGGATTAGCCAATAATCCAAGTATAATCTAACATAAACTGAAGTTGTTAACGGGTTTCATGATAGGTCATTATGATCTGAAATATTACCTTCATAAACTACGGTTATCTGCTAATTCGGAATGTAGATTATGCTCGAAAATGAGGAAACTACTATGCATATTATTCGTGACTGTTCAGGTTTAATAACGCACACAAGAAACTTGTTTCATATGGAATTTCTGTCACCAAAATATATTAAGCACTTTTCCCTAGATTTAGTTCTGGACTTTGTTCAAAAAGCTTGGCTTTGTGAAATCAATAGTGAATTTGGTACAGAACTCTTCTGGTCGTAGTACCGGCTGCTGCACGTCAAAGCTTTAATAATAACATAAACTGAACGTTAGAAACAATATATAAAATAATCGATTTTTGAAAGTTACCATACTTTTAGATATTTAGGCTCATATTCAACCACAATTGTTTATAGTTGATTAATTAAACATAAAATTTAAAGTATTAATTAATTTAAATCTCTGACTCCTTTCCATTTAATTGATTTGTTCATATTCAGTTCTTAAAATTCTTATTGTCTTGATGCAACATAAAAAAATTTCATAATTGGAAATCAATTTATTTGTTTATTTTCTTAACGAACATTTTTTTCTGCATCTTACACTTAATACATACAATTTATTTATATTAAATCACTTAATGTGTTGTTAATATGCAAAATTCAAATCTATTTAATCCAATGACTTTGGTGGTGCGTAGTTAAGTTCAATAAGACCTGAAGTCTTAGCCTTTGTATATATAAGAAAAAACATGAAAATAAGAAAATTTTATTATATTAGGAAATTAATGTTAAATACAAATAAATACAATAATATACTTACGATACTTATGGTACCAACTAAAGTCAAAACACCTAGTATCAACACTGCATTGTACTTGGAGTTTTGACGAGAGTACTGCTCCTGCCAGTCTCCGGAAGGAATTGGCAAATCATTCATAGTCGAAGGTTTAAGTCCACCATCGTGATATGCAGCACGCGTAATGGCGGCAGCTAAAATATAATTATATTAATAAATTGATTATAGCAATAATAAAAATAATTTAGACATAGACAACATTTTGCAGAAGTGAGTTATGTAATTGAGGTTAAAATATTTAAAGATTGTACACAGATTTTCAAAAGAAACTTACCATTTCTGAACAAAAGTCCTTGTTTCACGAGTTGTTTAACCAACATTTTTTCAACCTTCAATGAAAACTAAATATATATTAAAAATTTTATTTGGGTAATCTCAATCCTCTACGGCTGCTCACCTGCTGAATATGACAGAATCAAACGAAATGCTTCATCTTTCTGTGCAGAGAATATTCACAATAAAATTGTCAAATTCTATTACAAAACTGTAAGTAAGAAGCAGTAACGTTAATTTTACCAATATTCACAATAACATTTGAATTTATGTATGCATATGTAATGCGTCCAATCCGAAAGATTTATTATAATAAATACTATACATTTAAAAAAAAGGTAAATAACTTAAGGTAGCTCCACACCAAAGCGAACGTTTGCGAACGAACAAACTTTTGCAGTTACGATTACCTGCGAATATTAATCTCAAATATATATTAATAAAGTAATCATGTAGAAAATCACAGATATGAACCATTTATTCACAGATCACAACTAATTTGTAATTTTTTGTTTAATACTGCATTCACGGTAGCACTCAAAATTGATTCAATTTTCATTATCTCTATTTCGAGCGTAATAGAGCACAATTCGCTCCATTCATATATAAAGTAAACGTCAATAACAATAAATTATATGCAATTATTGTTGCAAATTTGAAGATTGAATATACTTAATAAAAGTATTAAACAGACTTTATTATCATTTGACATTTGTTTATTAATAAAATAATATAATATAAGAAAATAATATACATTTAAAAAAACTTTATTGGCATGACCTGATTTATGTATGTGAAGTAGCTTTTATAAGTCAGGAAGTTCTACGAAAGCTTTCCTTTGTTAACATTTCAGTTGTATATAAAGTTTTGTATTGTTAGCAGAAAATATTCAGAAAAAATTCAATATGGAAAAGCAAAAAATGCAAATAATTTAATATATAATGCTTGTAAAATTGTTTACAACATGAATAAAGCAATAGATGCACACAGAAAACAACATGCAATGCATTTGACAAAAATTAATAATTATTAATAAACAATAATTAGCATTACTTTTATCTAAATTTAATTATCAATTTTTAAATATTTATTGCATATTTATTTTATGAAAATAACAAACTTTATTAAATACTAGTACGTACTTCTTTTTGCCATTGAGTTTCTCAATTCTCGTGAAATAAATAAATTTCATTTAATAGTATATCACATGAAAAAATGAATATAGAATCGATATATTATATCAAATATATATATTTTAAATATTCAATTAATAAAAACAAATGCTTTATTTTATACTTACTTTTTCGATATGTTTGTTTACAGCTTAACTTTTGCATGTTTATATATTACATATATAATGTATGACAAATATTTTAAACTTTGATGATTTCCCTTGTGGGAAATTTGTTTTTAAGGGTTATACTCCACATTTTTTACCTTAAATGAGTTGATTTATTTATAATAAGCTTATTTATATAAAAGCTTTTTATATGGTAAATTAGCAGCCTTAATGAGCAAAACTGCGTAAATGAGACCAAAAGAAACATTGTATTACACAAATAATTAATTATTAACTATAATTAATTGTTAATTATTTAATAATTAATTAAATAATTATGCTCACATTAAATCTTGTGTGTTTTTGGCCCAACAACACACACTTAAAATGTATTGTTTTATTCTCTTCAACATATATTATTTAATTTGGTTTAAAAAAATTTATTATGATAGAAATTTACTATCATTGTATTATTATAAAAGGGACTTTCTGGAAATGCTTTCAATATTTAAAACTCCAAATAGTAAAAGATTAAATTATATAACGGATGCAGACAACTGTGCTCAGGTTTATAGAAATATTATAAACAAATGACACAGGATATTGTTTATGTATTTTATAATTTGTATTTTCTTTTTGTTTTTGTAGTTATTATTATTATTGTATTTATTGTTTTTTCCGCTATAACTTTTACATTGCATATTTCGTTAGTTTCCCTGAAAATGACTATCGAAGATAGTCGAAATATTGGAAAATAACTTAATAAAATAATTTGTTTTAAATATAAATAAAAAATTATAATGTTTTTATTTTCATTTAAATGACCAATAAGCGTTTATAAATTATATGATATTTTTGGTCAATATAATATATTGGTCTAACCAATGCGACTCGTTAAGTAACATTAGCATGTCTTTCTCAATTTTACGTTCCTAGATTAGGTTCTATACATAAGAAAGAACAAATCATGCAATAAGTAATGCCTCCACAAACAGAATACTATTGAAATTTAACAATTAAAAAATAAAAATATAATTAATTAATTCAATTATTCTACAGCTGGTTTATAATTTCGTTCTAATATAAACACAACAAGTGAATTTGTTAATAAAACTTTCACAGCAAAGTAAAAAAACTCCAGAGAAATGTGCAAACATAAAAGTCAAGTACGTCTTTGGGTCAGTTGGTTTCTAAGCGCTCAGCTTTAAATTTGGCAGGGCACGAGTTCAATCTCAGGTACTTGCAGTCTCAAAAAATTATTTACAAATAATTAAACACGAGAATTATTTCCAAGACCACTGATGATGGGTATTTGGCAATACTCTAAACAGCTGTATGGTCAGCCAAAAATTCAATTAATTAAAATAATATAAATTTAATTTTTGTTGTAGTTCTTTGCTGTTCCAAAATAAACTCTTTCTGTAAATTTCTATCTAAATTATTTTTCGTGTTGTTGAGTTGACAAAAATATTCCAAATGATATTTGTCGTCTGTTGGGTACAATCACACCCTTATAGTGTGAATAACAGAATAAATTAAATTTTAGGCTTGGCAACCCATCCCCTTATTATTTTTTTATTTCTATTAATGTTTTTTTTTTTTTTTGAAAATAAAAGAGAATATGTTTATCATAAATTCTCTGTTTTTATATTGAACTTTGAATACATATATTGCCAGTGTTTTAAGATTATGATAATAGTTCAAATTTAGCAAAATGTACGAAGGTTGTGCTGAAGTTCTTGTGGAAAAGCAGGACAAAATTTTGATTATAAAATTCAATAACCCAAGAAAGAAAAATAGTCTCAATCAAAATGCGTATTCAGCAATTGGACGAATCTTTCGGCAAGCGGCAAATGATGAAACTTTGACGACGATTGTTGTCACAGGTACTGGAGATTATTTTTCTTCAGGTAATGATCTGTCGCAAAGTCCAGATATAACCGATGTAGATGAGCATGTTACCAAAACTACGAAAAATCTTGCGGATATGTTGAGTGCTGTAATAGATTGTCCCAAGATTATAATAGCACTAGTTAATGGTCCAAGTATTGGCATAGGTGCTACGTTGACTGGGTTATGTGATATTGCTTGGTGTACAGAGAATGTAAGTTCATTTAATGCAGTCTAAATTAAATTTAATTATATACAATATTTCAAGGCTTATTTTCTAACACCATTTACGCAATTGGGTATTGTACCAGAAGCTGCTTCTTCTTATTTATTTCCACATCTATTGGGTCGATCTAAAGCATCAGAGATGTTGCTGTGCTCAGAAAAAATGACGGCTAGTGAAGCATACCATTTTGGCTTTGTGTCAAAAATTTTTAAATCTGAAGAATTGGATAGTATTGCATGGCCCAAAATTAGACAATTTTCTGAACTTCCACCAGAATCAGTTAGAGTATCAAAACAACTGTTACGTATAAATGAAGTTGATTCCACATATAAAGCTGTTCGCAATGAATGCAATGAATTAAAAAAACGATTTTCGTCTGAAGAGTTCATGAATGCAATAATACAATTTGCCACAAGAAAAAGAAGTTCTAAATTATAATGACAATGAACGTTCGTCACGGAAACAGTTCTGGATTGTCAAGGATTAAGGGATATTATATTCAGTGTGGACTATTTAAAATTGATCAATAAAACATTGTCAAGCTTATTTTAATTTGTTAATATTAGTTCTCCCATATAGTGTAATAATTAGCACTAACGGTAGTGGGTTGTTCTAATTGAGTTGGATTTAGTGGTTGTATTTTTAATTCTCGATTAATAAATATATTTTTTAACTTCTGCATATTATACATTTACAAATATACATGTATATATAAATATCTTGAGAATAAAGTCTCAAACGATAGATTGCAAAAGAAAAAAAAACAAATAAAGTTAAAAAATAATGGAATACTATTATTATTTATTTGTAGTTTTTGCTTAGAAGAATAAGTACTCGTAGCTAATGAAGGTGTATAGTGATAAATGCAATTATTAACAAAGTAAAAAATTTCTGCTGTAGAACTTTTTTTAAAAAATATGTCACTACATAATT